GAAGGCAGACGCTTAACGACTGAGCCACCCAGGCGCCCCAAGTATTAATGTTTTAAAGTATGTTTCATCCTCAGTCCATCAGAGGTTAGTTTGGAGCAATTATTTGGTGAATTTTAAATTGTGTTACTTTGAGAGAGATTCCAGATTTTCTTGTATATTACTCTGGATAATACTGATAATTATTTTACACTAAAATTTTACAAGAGCTATTTTTATTATTAGCCACTCACCAAGCCCCTGAAAATAGTTCAATAACTCTTTATAGAAGTTCATGTTCCTCAAATGAAAAGCCTAAGTGTGTGTACATCCATACATGAGTAATTTAAAATGTGCTTTCAAAAAAATAGAATACTACTACTATATTTGCACATTTTTATATAATTTAGAGACTATTTCTCAAATTAAATGATAAATTTATCTTCATCTTAGAAATCACACATTTCTCAAATTGCCAGAAGGGTTTATGGTATGTCTATGACTACAGAAGGATACAGATTGTAACATTACCCTAATCACACTAATGTTTTATTCAGCTAGTTATTCCAATACTCTGTAGACAAGCAACTATTCCAATACTTCCTAAGCCCTGCTCTACTTTGCAAATGTTTGCCTTTGCACTACCTGATTAATTACCCTATTTTAACCAGGAGGCATCAGTCTACTGTTCCTCTTTTTTTTTTTTTTTAAAGGTTTTATTTATTTATCTGAGAGAGAGAATGGGAGACAGAGAGCATGAGAGGGGGAGGGTCAGAGGAGGGAGCCCGATGTGGGACTCGATCCCGGGACTCCAGAATCATGACCTGAGCCGAAGGCAGTTGCTTAACCAACTGAGCCACCCAGGCACCCCTACTGTTCCTCTTTAATCATTTACTTTTTCAGGAAAGTGAACATGTGTGCCTGCTTTTATATTGCTAATATCAATTGTATTGGATAATCCCGAATGCCAGAATTTGTATCTTGCAGTTCACATATCTATCTTACCCATTTATTATAGTGGGACCGAAAACTTAGCACATAGCAAAGAGTGCATGAATATCTAAAATGTGTGAAAATTTGGGGGCGCCTGGGTAGCTCAGTCAGTTAAGCGGCCAACTCTTGGTTTTGCTCAGATCATGATCTCATGGTCCTGAGATTGAGCCCCATGTCAGGCTCTGTGCTAAACTGAACATGGAGCCTAGGATTCACTCTCTTCTCCCTGTGCCCCTCATCCCTGCTCTCTCTCTCTCTCAAATAATTAACAATTTTTAAAATGTCTGTACATTTTTGAACTGATATTAAAAGTAAAACATGCTTTTAGTGAGCAAATCTAAACTTGCATTGTAGTGATAATAGACATACACTTGGAAGCAATGTCCATTTCCACTTGACTGTGAAAGGTTAGAATAGTCATTTTAACACTATAATGGTGGCAAAATTCTAAAATATGCAGACAGTTGCAGACTCTAACAGCCATAACATGGCAGATAATTTTGAACATCCCTCAGATTATTTTTGAATTTAATTGGTTCAGGAGAAATTGTAACTATTAAAATCACCTTCTGACTAATGACTTTAGAATTTAGACTTCTACAAATCTAACCTCCAATTTCTAACAAATTTTTTCATACTATAGTCAGAATGCAATCAACTGCTTATGATATTTCCTACATTTTTAATACCAATTTATATTAAGCCTATTAAATTATCATGGCTTATCTACATACATATTAAATATCATCATTATTTATTTATATTTGGTGATTATTCTAATGTGCAAATATTATCATGGAAAATTAACTATAACGATGTGAAATTTTGTATTTACTACTGTTTAAATAGGCAGAGGTATCATCACATTCAGATGTGTATCATTCATGGCAGCATTAAATAAGTTATATAATATGAAACATTCATCTAACCAACAAAACCAATATGGTAGATTAAATAAACTTAAATTTCATAAAACCTAAAGAAAATCTATAGATTCCATCTGGCTTACTAGTCATTTCTGTAAGTATATCTAGGTTGACTGTCTTATCGCAGTACCTTTGTCAAGGCTGCAATTCTCTGAGCCAGTTCAGCCTCTACTTCAGGTAAGGTCTCGGCTTTTCTCATAGTCTGCTGCAACTTTTGCTCAGCCAGCTCAAGACGCTCTTGTAACTGTCTGTTCTTCTCTTCCATCTGAAATGGGATGGAAAAAGAGATGCTTACAGAGTCACTGTGAGGATAACAAACACAAGCCCCTTGGGGCTTTGGGCTTCAGCCATTATTCTAGACTTAAAATCTGCCACTACTACCATACCTGGGCTATGCAAAGAGATGACTGTATTCGTATTTTCTTATCTTACATAATCACATTCCTCAATAAAATTTAGCACATTAAAAAATAGAAAAGCTCTTACCAATGGCAGCAAAAAGAAAAAAAAAAGTTACTAGTGAGTATAAACCTGGAAAAATGGATTATAATTCAATACGAAGACTTCAGATGTACCATGATAGCATAATATTGAAAATTATAGTATTAACCAGAGTGGGAGAGGGAATGTAGTACAATGGTTAAGGGTCCGGGCTCTAGAGATAGGTTTGACAAAATTTTTTTCTGTGAAAGACCAGAAAATAAATACTTTAGGCTTTGTGTATTATTTAGTCTCTGTTCCAACTACTTAATTCTACCATTGCAGCACAAAAACAGTCACAGACTGTTAAATAAATGGGTATGGTTTATTTGTAAAACAGAGCCATAGTTTTGGCACATGGGCCATAGTTTGTCCACTCCTGCTCTAGAGTCAAATAGACTTAGGCCTCCGCTAATAACTGGCAATTACCAGATGTGTGACCTTGGAAAAGGTTTCATGTCTCTGAACCTTAGTGCCTCAGTATAATTGTGCTTACTTCACAGGTGATGGTTAGATTTAAGTGAGGTAATACATGTTAACTGTTTAGCAGTTTCTGGCTCATGTCTAGATCCCAAGTAAATATTAAAAGTAATTATTTTTATTATTATTAAGACAAATTTATAAATTATATCCTGAAAATCACATCTGTCTAGTCAGTTCTACTCTAAATTTTAGATAATGGTTGATTGCCAAAAAATACCATATTTTATTTACTCCATGTTTTGTGAGAATGATTAGAACACACACGGACAAGAACAAAACCAAGATAGAGATACTCAACCTGCCGTAGGATGGCCTCTTTATTTGCTAACTCATTTTCTAGTTTATCATTCATGTCATGTATGGAGGTAGATTCTCTCTGAGCACTGAGGTAACGCTTCTCAAGGGTTGTGATTCTTTCTTCCATATCTTCCTTCTGTGCCATGGCCTACAATTAAAATAAATTAATTAAAATCAGATTTTCAGATAATGTACTGTCTTGTTATTTAAATAAAATAGTAAAATTTAAAAGCTATTGTTTTTTTGAAGTAATATTCATTCCTTTCTTTTCAAGGAAGGTATGCAAGATTTCTTGTGAATTTTCCCAATACCATCAGAATTCTTACATCTTGGGTTAATGAAGTTTCTCTCTCTGAGAATGCAGTGGAGTACATGAAACTACCTGTTGTAGAACTGGCATTCTTAGAAAAGAAGTGACAGCTAAATTAGCTTGTTATATAGTAAAGATAAGTACAATTATGGGTAGAGTTGTAAACCATAAAGGTGAAATGGTGGCTACTGTTCCAAACTGCAAAACAATCTTTAAGGTTAACCAATATCATCAGTATTTTCATCTTCAGATATAAGTAAAAGTAACTCAACAGTTAAAAAAAGAGGCCAAAAAAAAAAAAAAAGTAAATTTGAGTCATATTCACAAATGGATCGACCAACTGACTTTGGAACTTAACCGTTTTCCTTGTCATATATATTCCAATTAAAAAAAGAATTTAAAGAACTCAATGAACACAAATCTCTAGGGAAAAATAAATTATCAGTGCAAATGGAGAAAACCTTGGCATTAATGATATTCTAAACAATAATTTTTAAACCATCTAAATTCAAAGATAATATGGAGATAATCTTATCTTCCTAACAGCTTACATGAAAATTTATTAGTAGGTGGATAACCTACTTTTTAAAAAAGATATTAATTTTTTTTTTTTTTAGTACATCCCAGAAAGAGCACCTTTACTAAACAGAAAACAAAATGTTTGTCAGGAATCTGACCAAATACACAAAGCAGCAGGTAAGCTTCCTGAGAGAAAAGAAAGACTCCCAATGGAACATAAATAGATCCCCTTCAAAGTACACATATTTCACAGGAGTGTGTACATATATATGTAATATATTAAAAGAAATTTGGTTTCTACCCCAAGAAGTTATGCAGAAATAATAAATCAATCTCTCATCTGAGATTTGGGAAGTGCAGAGGCTGCAGCCACGTTACTAAGCAGGTGTGCACCCCACTCCCGCACACACTTCCCCTCTGTACACGATACACTTGCTGGGAGGGTGCTGAGGCGGGCGCTTCTCTCTGCCCCAGCCCCTAGCCCCAACAGATCCAGTGTTTGTAGAAGAGCGAGCCAGGGAAGGCAGGTCTCTGTGGGGCCCCCAGAGCCCAGGAGCCGGGGGCAGGCAGGTGGCCAAAGCCTGAGGCCACCTGCCTGGAAGGGGACCTTGGCCCTGGAGTAAAAGGGAATTGCTTGGGACCCCGAGGAATGGCATGGCCACATTCCCAGTTTTCAGCAGCAATCCTCATTCTGGGGTCTCCCCAAGGTCCACAAGCTCTTTGTAGTTTGGCCAGTCTGGACTTCTCCTAGGGTCAAATGGCTTTTAGGAAGAGGGCACAGAGTTTCCAGAGCCACGAGGGCTTGGCCATGTGAACCTGTGTGTTTGCACACACGCACATACAACCAGACGTGCTTTAAGAGAGGTTGACAAGTTGCAAACGAGTGTTCTGCCGTGAAGCGCTCAAATAGTGTCTACTCTGTGGTCAGAAGTGAGCTTCATGGAAAAACTGAGAGTTTTTCCCCGAAGGTCAGGAACATGACAGGGATGCCCACTCTCACCACTTTTGTTCAACATAGTACTAGAAGTTTGAGCCTCAGCAATCAGACAACAAAAAGAAATAAAAGGCATTCAAATTGGCAAAGAAGAAGTCAAACTCTCACTCTTCCCAGATGACATACTTTATGTGGAAAACCCAAAAGACTTCACCCCAAAATTGCTAGAACTCATACAGCAATTCAGCAACATGGCAGGATATAAAATCAATGCAGAGAAATCAGTGGCATTTCTATACAGTAACAATGAAACAGAAGAAAGAGAAATTAAGGAATCGATGCCATTTACAATTGCACCCAAAACCATAAGATACGTAGGAATAAACCTAACCAAAGAGGCAAAGGATCTGTACTCTAAAAACTACAAAACACTTATTAAAGAAATTGAGGAAGAGGCAAAAAAAATGAAAAAACATTCCATGCTCATGGGTTGGAAGAATAAATATTGTGAAAATGTCTACGCTACCCAGAGCAATCTATACATTCAATGCAATTCCTATTAAAATACCATCGACATTTTTCACAGAGCTGGAACAAATAATCCTAAAATTTGTACAGAATGAGAAAAAACCCCAAATAGCCAGAGGAATGTTGAAAAAGAAAAGCAAAGCTGGTGGCATCACAATTCCGGACTTTAAGCTCTATTACAAAGCTGTAACCATCAAGACAGTATGGTACTGGCACAAAAACAGACACATAGATCAATGGAACAGAATAGAAAACCCAGAAATGGACCCTCAACTCTATGGTCAGCTAATCTT